AGATTTCCCTTGAAAGGGGTCCTCAGGGTGAATGGGGTCCGCGCGCGCGCGCCAAAAAGGTCTCAAAATTGAAGCCATTTTGGCGCGTGCGCGCGCGGACCCCTTTCACCTCAAGGATCCCTTTCAAAGGAAATTGTGTTATGGGATTTTACACAACGTGGATAGCACCTTCTTGGGCGTAAAACTTGAAAGGCTCATTTCAAAAAATGAGACGGCCTAAAAAACCTCAACGGTATAGCTGGTTTGTTATTACATTATGTTCACCAACCATGAAGACGATAGGTCCCCAAAAAGAGTGGTTGGGGACCTATCGTTTTAATCCCCGCTGTGTCTTCCCTGTAGCGGTGATCCGAATGCAACGAACTGGTTTGGAAAACAAGAAAAACTTTGAGTTAAACTTGAAACATTGTGTCTGTTTCCTTATATCGAATCAAAAAAGAGTGTGGCTTGTCCGCTGCGGCGCATTGACAGTTGTTGTGCAAATTGATCTTGGAACAGCAGATGAATTGTGGTTTTTTAGGATCAAGTGATTAGAACAAGAAATGTATATGTAAAAAAACATATGTTGAGTCTATGTTCAGCCTATGTTGGGCCAAGAATGGTGTGTTCCTTTGCGGGCATGACCAGCCCCAAAAGGAACACGTTGTTTTTGGGCCATGTCGGGGCGCTTGAGGTTCTTTTTGGGGTAATTTTGGAAGCAATGTCGGGCCAATGATCGGCAATTTGGAGCCTATGTTGGGCTGTGTTGGGCCTATGTTGGATTTATGGCTTTTATCGACATAATTTGGGTTCCATTTTTTTGAGGGAAAAAAGGGAACCCAAATTTCGGGCTGAGTAGGCTTTTGGGGGCCATGTTGGGGCCATGTTGGGCCAAGAGCGGCCTGTTCATTTGAGCCCTTGCCAAGGGGCGCAAATGAACACGCTGTTTTTTGGATCATGTCGGGGCCATGTTGGGCCTATGTTGGACCATGTCGGGCTCTTGGGGGCCATGTTGGTGCCATCTTGAGCTATGTTGAGCCTATGTTGTGCCAAGAACGGCGGGTTCATTTGAGCCCCTGCCAAGGGGCTCAAATGAGCCCGCCGTTTTTGGGGCATGTCGGGGCCATGTTGGGCCTATGTTAGACCATGTCGGGCTCTTGGGGGCCATGATGGGGCCATCTTGAGCCTATGTTGAGCCTATGTTGGGCCAAGAATGGCGTGTTCCTTTGGGGGCATGACCAGCCCCAAAAGGAACACGCTGTTTTTTGGGTCATGTCGGGGCCATGTTGGGCCTACTTTGGGTTCATGTTGGTACGTACCTGTGGGTCTTACCTTCATTTAATATTTATTTTGTTTTTATTTTACTAACTTGGGATTAAAATAAATACGGACATGATAGTTAAAAATAATTTTTTAAACTTTGAATATTCACGTGCTACATACATATATATATATATAACATCAGTCCAACATAGGCTCAGCATGTTTTCAAATGACAGAGCCGAAGCAGGGCCTTCTTGAAGGTTCCCATCCGGGCCCAGATAAGAATTTAACATCGACCCAAACAGGTCTGTGCTACCGCGCTGAATAGCATGAAGGCGATAGCCCTGGATTTCTCTCACATTGAAGAACCCCTTTGCTGGAAATAGTGTTCTATCTGACATATACTTTGGCATCCAATGTGGCCTAACTATCTCAGCCAACGCCTAAACTTTAAGACTTTTTTCTGGGAGATCACCCACTGGGATCTGACATCATACCTGACATTGCGATTTTTTTACAAAGGTCGGCCCGAAGAAAAACATAAACACAGGCAGTGGAAAATTGGCCATGTGGCATTCTATCTGACATATCTTTTCTAACAGTCTGTCTGGCATAATATTCTGACATGCTTTCTGACATGTACTGTATGCGCTATACTTGGACTGAAAGTATGTGAAGCTTGATGACTTGGGGGTTTTGTTTGTGATTCGATGCTTAGAATCTTTGGAATTCCCCAGAAACCTTGTGCAACTTGGGTAAACGCCGCACGCAACCCGTAAAGAACAACAACTACGATACAACCATGAAGGCCATTTCCTGGCCGTATCGCTGTTGTTGAGATGCATCCAATGAAAACTTATTCAGCCAGTGGCTGAACTTAAAACCCAATTTCTTTTTGCCAAGGGTACCCACTCAGGAAGAAAATGAATGGAAGATATTTGGCATACGAACCGATTTCATAGGTTTTTATTTGTGGGAACATTGACAGAAATTGTACCTCTGTCAGATGTTCAGGAACGTTTTCTTGACTTAGCCAATGGCTACAGGCACCAGAAAGCTTTTTTTATTGTGGTTCTTAGCCGCGCGCACAATGAACTTTTATCTTTAAGAAGAGCCCACTGAGTGAGTTTTTTTATTTTGCAGTGTCCTTGATAGATGCATTGTCATGAGCACTGAAGATTGAAGATCCCTCTTACTGTATAGACATTGGTTCTTTGACGATCAATGCCTTTTTACAAGTTCGAGGTTGGGTGAGGAAGGATGAAGATTCTTTTTGACATTCTTTGGCTAAAATCTAGATCCCCTCACGACACTTTTCACTTCGAGGACCTCTTTCAAAGGAAACCTTGACTGTAATGAAACCAACATTGATGTCACTTAGTGTTGAATTGCGCAGGATTGACGATGTCGACTATCAGTGTTCAGCGTTGGTCGCGCTTGGTCGCCACAAGCATTTGCTGCTGGAAAAGGAATGCCACAGCCCGGTGCCTTGTAAAATTTCAGGGATGTCTCGCCGTGGTGTGATTCCTTTCCGCCATCGTGCTTTTAACTTGTGGGTGCAATAGCTGTGGTTCTGAAGCTTGAGGTGCCTTGCCCTGCGGACCCAGTTGTATGATGAGATGACGATTTGATCTGAGAGCCGCCGCCAAGTTTGCTACAGCTACAGGCTTTGTTCTTTGCCTGGTCTCAACAAATAGGTTTTTCTCTTGCTTTGAAGCTGTGGCAGACAGTCTTGGGCGTAGTAGGCTGACAAGGCATGTCTTCTCATGTTATGCGAAAATGGATTCAATGTGCCAGGCAAGACGATAGAATCCAATCCACCCTTTCATTTTTTCTTGCCTGGCACATTCCCGCAGATGCTGGCAGTTCTAGTAGCTGATTGTTGACATCTTGATGAAAGCATGATTGCGGTGAAGCTTGCTTTTAGCACACAGAGTTCCTGTGGTATCATTGATCACGCGCATAGTGTTGGAGAAACAGATTCCAAACTTGAATGCGCCGGCCTGTAATTTGATTCCAAGCTGGAAGATCCACCCAGGAGTGAGCTAGACAGCGCTTGAAAACTTTTCTTCATTCCAATTGTGGAGCCAATAATAGTGAGTGGCGTTTGTCTGCACAGTTCCACTTGATTTTGTTTCAAAATGCCAGCGCTTCCTCCTCTTACAGTGCTGTCCGATGATGATGAGCCAAAGGGCTGTGGGCCAAGCATGCCTTCAGCTTGGGCACCTGTGAAAGAACTTAGTGATGACGAGTCAAATAGCCACCGTGAAGATTTCCGGGAGCTTGGCCTAAGGCCTAAAAGGAAAAGGAAAAAAAGGCATGGCCCCACCCTTCGGGAACGTTTGGCCAGCGAAGTTCACTGCAGAGCATTGTTAACGAAGCGATGCAAAGGCTGCAGGAGGCCTTGTTTGATGGGTTTCGCTTCGCGCCAGAATGGTGCTTTTGCAAACTTGCTTGACTTCCGTCGGAAGTGGGTGGATACGCACAAGCTTGATCAAGATCGAGTTGTTTCTGGCTTGAAATCTGTGGTGCTCATTCATTTTCAACGCAGTGATTTTTGTGAGCAGCTGGTTTTTTTCTGTGGAGATCAGCTGATTAGCTAACAAAGTTTGCCCCACTGCGGCCAAGGTTTTTGATAGCATGAAGGCGGCCTTAGCGGCTCGTGCAACTGATCAAGCTGCGGTCTCTTGGAGGTTCAACGGTAGCAAGGTGTGTCTTCGTGGGTGGAAAGCTTTGCATGCCATTGGATTCTTGGAGCCATATTAATGGCAAGTAGCAGAAAAACATATTGCACATCCAGTGGTTAATAACGGGCAGGGCACTTTTGGTGGCCGGCTTGAAATGAGGAAATGGCCGGTTTCAACGGCTGTGGGAGGCAGCAGTGAGAGGCGACGAGAACCCGCCTGCTGACATGCGGTTTGTCACCCATGAGAAGGCACATGTGACAGCCGACTCGAGCGTGGGCCAGGTGACTACGTTTTTGCAGACGCTTTATGATTCTGTCGCTGAGACCCTCCCAGACGTCAAAGATGATGGGTTGGAGCTCAGCTTTCACAAAGGCCTTGAGGGGGCCGACCCATATGCCAGTGTTGACATGCCAGCGGTTGCTACAGTGGAGCCCCCTGCCAAGAAGCAGAAGGTTCGGAAGGTCAGACAGGGCTTGAAGATTCATGTGGAAAGGAAGTTGGACCATGCCCTGGAAGCCCGGTACTTACCACCTGGCTGCATGAAGGACTATTTCGAACAGTTCAAGAGCGTTGATGTATTGAACAAGACGTCATTCTCAACGTTCTGGCGCGTCTGGCGTATAGAGTTTGATCATCTACGTTTTCGAGCTGTGAGCTCACACGCCCAGTGCTCGACATGCTTGCACCACCGAGTTTTGCTGAAGGAACTGTCCGGGTACCTTTTTGCCCGGCAACGGCAGGCCCAGCTCTACCACGCTCATTTAATGAGCCAATACCGAGACCGGCAAGTTTATTGGGCGTTGAGATCCAGCTCAAGACTCCGCACTCTTGGGCAGATCACAATTATCCAAGATGGAATGGACCAGTGCAAATTTGCATTCCCTCGCAGTCCTCTTTGTAGAGGGAAGGACCTATCGACCTTAATACGTCCCAAGTTGTCCATCGTGGGGTGCCTCGCTCACGGGTGGTGTCTGTTATTCTCTGTATCGGATCCCACCCATCCGAAGGATTCATCATGTATGGCAGAGCTGTTTTGTCACACTTTGACCAGACTGTCGCGATTGGGATTGCGCTTGAGTGAGACCATTGTCCATTTGGTATCTGACAATACCAGCAGAGAGACAAAGAACTCAACAACGTTGAGGCTATTGAGCGCTCTCGTCCAAAGGCGTTCCTCGGTTTGATTTCTGTCAACTGTCTTGTGCATGGTACTTGGTTTTTGGTTTGGGAACATGGGGCTGTTTCCACGCAAAGTTTGATTTTCATTGAACTTGCTCCCCTCTAACTAGCAGGCATACTGGCTGGAGCGAGCCTTCAGCATTTGAGATCTGGACATTCGCATGAAGACATAGATCAAACGTTTGGATCCCTCAGCCTATTCCTCGTCAAACATGGAAAGCAGGTGGAAACTCCGAAGGATTTCCGCCATTTGATTCAAAAGTTCTGTTCTACGGCCCACCGTCCCTTTGAGAATGAGCGTGCAGTGGTGTTGCTGGACCAGCACAGACCATGGAATCTTGTCTTCCAAGCAGCTCTTTCTACGTCCATGTTGAAAAAAGAATGTTGGCATTCCTTGAGACTGAAGTGGTTGTTGCTGGATTTGCTGCCCCTGCTTGTTTTTGAGAAATCATGACGTCATGACTGTTCTGATGACTTATGATTTCGGCCGCAGCTTGCAGCCTTGCAACTTCTGAGGAGGGACTTTCTAGCTGGCGCTGTCCCAGTGATGCTCCAGGGAATTGGTGGCCCTGGTGCGCCCCACTTCTTTGGAATCAGTCGTCGGGAAGATTTGGGTTCCTAGGTTGAATTTATGAAGGGGTAGGGGATGGCCCCTGCAGGAATTACAGAAGATACAGGCCTTGCCTTCTGTTTTATAGGTGAGGCATCCCGCTTGGCTGGGAAAGTTAGAAATCTCCAAACGTGAAAGCAAGGGTGTTCCATCATTTGTTTTGAAGTGGTTGGAAGTGGTGTGGGGGTTAGACCACCGATGGATATATTATAATGGTTTGGGCGCGTGGCGTTTCCAACTCCAAAATATTAATTCGGCGTCCTGAATTCCGATATCAGCGCCCAGCGACTTGCTAAATGTCAAGTTAATATTATGTTTCACTTGGAAGGCATTTTTCTGACAGTCTTCATTCGCCTCAACGTTTCACATGTCTTGAACCTAACATGGAATGACGTTTCGTTTCTCTGTGTTTGTTTGGATGCGCGGAGCAGCAGATGAATTGGAGCTGCGTTTGTGCTTCATGGCCTTCAGGATCAGAAGCCTTAAGGGCGAGAGATACGTACTGGAAGATCCCAGAGAGCGACTGTCGTCCTAACGACATCATCATCCAGCAACTTGACTTTCCGACCGATTTGGTTCTTGTTGGATCGGAAACGGATTTTAGCCCTGTGAAGCTTTCACCTTGCGGTATTCTCATTAACATAATTCAATTTTCCCTGAGTCTGTCCCACCGGGCGGATGTGCTTGTTTCAGGCTTAAGGTAGCAGCCTATAACATGCTGAGCTTTCCGTTCCCTGCTTGGCAAGGACAAAGCAGTACATGCAGGACAAGGATGTTGGTTCCAGCTTCTTGTTCTTCCCGGCCGTTGTGGGCGATGAGCGGATCCCAGACGGTCTTCCGCAAGGCAGGTTCTGGGAACTGTCGTCGGCCATCAGTCTGTGTTGATCACTGACTCTCCAATGGTCTTGTTTGGATGGTTAAGGAGGTTGGCGTTTCTGAACCCTACTTCCCAAGCATGCCAGGGACGGCTGACAACAATGAGCTTGCTGGAGACTACAAAGACCACTTGCTTAAGTTCGTTCCCGTTTTGGAATCCTACGACTTGAAAGATGCAGCTGCATACTTCCGGGCATGGGTTTCTGGGACCCTGGAACCTGCTCCTTTGTTGGATGTATCAGCGTGCTTCAGCTGAAAGTACATTCTATGGTAGGTTTGAGACCATTTGTACTGTGGGATTTTTTTGAGCAAAAAAAATAGTTTTCACAAACTGATCGCTGGTTGGTGCGTAGTAGCTTCCAAGGTGCTCCTTCAGAGCGTGCTCTGACCGTTCTGCAGCACGACCAGGCTTTGCACGTCTCAAAACATTTGAGCCGAAGCCAAATGTGATCAAGTAACTTGCTGGAAGTTTGCTGTCTCTTCGATTGACACATAGGATTGTTTAGTAGCAAGATTGATTACCGAAACAATGCCTGACAAGGAGATTCAGAGTAAATTTCAAGGTGCTTGTTGCAGCGTGCTTTAGCTAGGATACGCTAGGATTTTCAAAAAGGAATGTCAAGTTCTTCCCCTATTGATCAAAACAGAACTGCCTTCCCAAGGCTGAAGCGTGGGCCGGACGACAAAAAAAATGCTGACCGATACATTGTGAACGCTTCCACACACATTGTTTTGGAAGCAGCCGCAGAAGCTTGGAGTGCTGGGGTGCCTTGGGAAGAGGCCTATGACATAGCCTCTCGAGCAGTTGACAAAGTCAACAAAATTGCCCGGCCATTTGTAAAAGCAAAGGCCAAGCCAAAAGCAAAGGGCAGAGCTAGGTGAAGTTACAAGGGTGATAGTCAAGGAAACCATTGTTTGAATAGGCAGGTTCCAGGTTGTCGGTTGTCAATGCTTCGGTCTTGGTAGCTCAGCCTTGTCAGCTATTGCTTTGAGATCACGCTGCAACACCTGAACCCGACACACCGGCAGAAAAAAAAAACATTGGCAAAAGCCACATTTGACACTCAGCCCTATTGTTTCCCCGGTGCTTGGCCAGTGATGAAACATACCCAGGCTTCATCACCTGTGCGTTGATTTGCACGCTTTTCAAACATAGCTTGTCGACATCATACGTTCAGGGAGGGTTGTGAGCACCTTCAAGTGATGGATGCTAGGTAGGATCTGCCACTCTACTGTGTCTTGCGTGGAGAGCTTGCATGGTGTCAAATCCAAGGGTCTTCATCTTGAAATTATGTTCCCAAAGTGTTGATGATGAACTATCTTATCTTGAGTTTAGGGTTTAGGGTTCGGGAAAAAACGGGCAGCATTCCCCCTTATTTTTGATCAACTTTTTGAAATATTTTTTTGTTTAAGAGTTGAATGAAGCAGCCATAGCAGCAGTGATGGATCCTAGGTTGGATCCATCACTCGGATGAGTTGATGATGGCCCTAAATCTTGAGTTTAGGGTTTAGGGTTCGGGAAAAAACGGGCAGCATTCCCCCTTATTTTTGACCAACTTGTTGAAATATTTTTGGTTTGAGAGTTGGATGAAGCAGTCATAGCAGCAGTGATGGATCCTAGGTTGGATCCATCACTCGGATGAGTTGATGATGGCCCTAAATCTTGAGTTTAGGGTTTAGGGTTCGGGAAAAAACGGGCAGCATTCCCCCTTATTTTTGACCAACTTGTTGAAATATTTTTGGTTTGGGGAGAGGGGGGGGAAAAAAAAGCGGGAGAGGGGGAGGGACGAAAGGAGGTTGGGGGTATTTTCTGTGTTTGGGGGGGGGAAAAAACAAATTTTCTTTTTGTCCTTCAGGCAGCCTTTCTCTTGTCAATTATTAACTGGGCGAGTGTTTGCAGGATGCGGGTGCGAATGGGTCGTCAAAAAGCTAAATGAGAGTGGAAGCTCAAGAGCTGGCGTGGGGGAGGAGCTTGGATGAAGAGCATTCAAATATGCAAAGCAGTGATGGATCCTAGGTTGGATCCATCACTCGGATGAGTTGATGATGGCCCTAAATCTTGAGTTTAGGGTTTAGGGTTCGGGAAAAAACGGGCAGCATTCCCCCTTATTTTTGACCAACTTTATGAAATATTGTTTGTTTAAAGAGTTGGATGAAGAAGTCATAGCAGCAGTGATGGATCCTAGGTTGAACCCATCACTTCGTTGATGAGTTGATGATGGTTGGCGTTTTTGGTTGAATGTTGGAGTGTCGGATCTTAGGTAGGATCCGACACTCATATGATGAAAGTGTCGGATTTGGATGAGATCCGACACTCATAGGATGAAAGTGTCGAATTTCAAAGTGTCGGATTTCAATGAGATCCGACACTCATAGGATGAAAGTGTCGGATTTGGATGAGATCCGACACTCATAGGATAAAAGTTTTAGATTTGGATGAGATCCGACATCCAGGGATGTATATGACAGGGTTGGATGGGGCCCAGCAATGACCTCCCCTTGCATTTCACAAGTCTAGGCTTCAGTTGGTGGAATGCATTCTTTGAATTCTTTATCAAGAGAAGGGCTTTGCAGGGGCACCTGTCGCCCTGTTGGATTTATGGCTGTTTGCCAATCCAGGCTTTTTTGCTCAGATTCAGGTGATTTTGCGCCGCCGCCGCCCCCCGAGGGTTCTTGGCCATGCCACCTGCCAAGCGCAAATCTTTTGGCGGTGACTCCAATAAGAAAGGCTCGAAGTCCATCAAGGCTGTGACATCGTGCCCAGCTACCACAGCCATCGTGGAATGGTTTCTTGACATGCGATGTAGGCAGCAAGAAATTCCAGCAACTCATGTTCTTACTACCTTCAGGACACGAGCCTTCAAAGTATTGTGCTGTCGCCTCAGGCTGCAGAAGAATGTCCTAGATGCTGGAGGCTTCGAGGCTTACATGGACAAGACCTTTGATTCGGAGGTGCCTTCCTCAAAATAGTGGGCGTCAAGTCTTACACATTGAATTGTGGGTTGGATTTTTGTGCGCGAACCGATGTGCAGCGGCCCATGGTTGTTGTTGTTGTTGTTGTTGTTGTTGTTGTTGCTGTTGAACTCAGTCCATGTTGGCCCTGACAGGCCAAGCTGATGGAGTTTGCCCAGTTCATCGACGAGACATTCCCAGGAGAAGAGACGTGCCCGTCTCAGATCTCATGCCAGAAACTGACCAGCATTTCCGGCCGCTGCCAACCCCTGCCCACAATTTATGTCAATGGTATTCGCATTGGCCGGTGAGGCGGACCTACGCCACTGAGTTCAAGCAAGGACCTTCTTTTCTCAGGCCATGGATGTGTGGCTACCGAAACGATTTCGGTTTCAGTGGCACGTGCGAACCGGATGAATACCTGGGTTTGGCAGAGTTGATCATTCAGGAAGGGTCTTTGGGCGAAGTCTGTGTTGAGGCAGTGTAGATTCGGCAGATTTACGTGATAGCTTCATGTAGGAACTTTGGAATCAGGAAATTAGCTTTAGATATGTGTGCACGGTCATCATTGACCCAAGTTTTTGCCTTTTGTATTGCTGTGATGTTGGTTCTGATAGGTGTGGCTGTCCTGCATCATCACATGACTGCCGTGGAATTTGAGGTTTAGAAGTGATCCAGATCTTGGTGGTGTCGAGAAGATCACCATTTGCGACCCCACCGCCAACGAAGGGTCCATGCTCGAGACCCCGTACTCCCAGATGGATCCTTTCCCAGATCGTCATCTTCTTAGCTGTTATTTTATGATCATTGCTGTGCATTGATACACGATCCAAGTTCAGGTGTCAATGGGTACGGTTCTCAAAGATTCCAAGGCAGAGACCTTCTGCCGCCGTTCTCAGTTGCTTTCGTCAAGGGATGGAGGCGGTCAACAACCCTTCTTGCAATCATGGCAGCCGTGAAGTCCCTGGGGATGAATAAGGAAGACATCCCTCGGCAATTCATCGCCGCTTGCCGTGAATGATTTTTCCAGCGCACTGGCTTGGCAATTTCCATGTCGGATGGACCTGGACTGCACGTGGACCGTGCAAAGTTAACACATGATTTGTTTGATATTCATGGAGCCAGTGGTGTCACACGTGTAGTAAAGGGGTCAGAAGCTTGCCTTGCGGTGCACCTCACATGGATGTTGCTGGATGAAAGAAGAATGTTTTTTTCTTTAACCAACTTCCAGATGGCAAAGCAAGTTTCAAGTTTTGCTATTGTGCCCTGAGGTGTCCTGCAAGACCATTTTTGCCACCATGGGCGCGTACCATTCCACTCGGGAACAGATTTTCGCAAACCGTGGGATCACCCTTGCGAGTGTGGGGACGCGCAAATCGCCGAATGCATTTACGTTTCTGCGTCAGGTGGAAGTTTTGAGTCGCGCTGGGCATGGCGGGGCCACCAAACAGTTTGAGGACCCTGGTTTTGCAATTTTTCTCCCTACCCTAAACTAAGTGTTTTTTAACTTTGGAGGATGTAGTTGACGTTTTGTTTTTGGGCTCCGGCGGGCAATAGTTTGGGACAGGCTATAGACTTACCCGTTTGATTTTGCCCAGGATTGGGGGAATTGCACTGCCGTCATGCGGGTTTTCAGCATCGGGAAAGCGGAAGCTGGAGCTGTGAGCAATCTTCAAGCCCATGTTGAGAGGGTCATTGTTTGCGAATTGAAGCAATGCGTGGCCAAGAGGGGGATCAAGAATTTTCTTTCCCACGATATCCTTGCCAAAGGCGTGCTGAACACTGGGTACACCTCGGCTTCAGGCAATTCGGAGGCTTGGGTGTCCATCATGACCAACTTAGAAGATGCCTCAATTGTCATTTGGCCCGCGCTTGGATATGTATTATTTTCTAGTAACTTCTTTGATCAGCCTTTGCTCTTTCACGACGCTCATTTGAAGAGACAATGCCTCTTTCAATTCGACCACGATTGCTTTCAGGCCATGGTTTGATATAGGCTTGTGAGTTGTTGTGCCGCTCAGGTGAAGCTTTTCCTTGAGAGGCTATGCGGTGATTGGGACAAACTGCCCAGCAACATGCGCAAGTCGCCCTCTCTGAGGGAAGCGGTTTCTTTGCACCAGAGCTGTGCACTCTTCCTCCATTTTCTGAGGACCTTGGAGGTGTCAATTCCAAGCTCCGAGTTTCCGGCTGCAAAAGAGAAACTGAGTGCCTCTTTTCTATTAGGCGTGCTGGATTCAGATCTCATCACCATTGGCGAGAAATCTGTCCCTCCTGGGGACATCAAGGCAATTGGTGCATTCAGGACAGGCTCAGCCCAAGCTTGTTTGCCGTTTTCTTTTGTTGCATGGACCTCCCCTTTTTCCACAGTCCACATGTAGTTTCCATGTGTCAAACGAGCCGCCAGGAATATCTTAGCAGCCCGAGAGACACAGGAGCTGCAGGACAGAGAGGACCAGGCCAAGGAGCTTGCGATGAAAGTCGCCCAGGCTACGATGGCCCAGATCAAATCGCAGTTTGAAGGGGACATGCAGAAGATCTGCGCAAAACTGCCAACGAAAGATGCCCAGACCGTGGAGACGGCCAAGGACATGAAGTACATCAGGGATCGACAAAAGAACCTCGCCATTGATTTCTTTTTACCTTTAAGACTGTGCTGCTTTCATCTCATTGGGGGAGTAGCGGCAAGCTTCCGAATCGGAAGCTATTAGATTTGGCTGTGGTTACCCAGTTTTTTGAAAAACTTCGAACGACAAGTGAGAGTGAGTCCGAAGTGCCAGCCCCTATAGTTGCTGCCTTGAGATCCGAGGAGAGGCAATGACTTTGTCAAGGAGTGGATGCACAACCATTGCAAAATTTCCCTGGTCAGTGTGAAGGAGGATGGCGACGGTGCCTCTATGGGGGCTTCTTTGAGTGAGTTTTCCAGATATTGCGCAGATCGCGTTCCTCCAGGCTTGCAGTCGTCTCTTGGTAGAATTGGCAGAAGTTTGCTTTGACTTCCTTTATGTGATTGGTGGTGTGCAGGCAAACTGTTGGCAGACTGTTTATCATGGCAATGTGTGCCCTTCGAACTTCGTGCAGTTTCTATCCTAGGTTAGTGCTGTGCTCAGTGGATGCTACAGTTTGGCCCTCCAGCACCCAATACATGATGGATTGCCTCGGCTTGATGCAGAATGTCTGCTCTTTGGGGCCAGGGAACATGGCCCACATCCAGCAGCCACTTTTCCACCAGGCTACCACAATGAGTGCTTTGGTTAAGCACCGGCGAAGATTGGAAGATTTCTTGCTCAAGAGCGACTTGGACATTTCCAACAACCTCACCCTCACATTCTCGAAGGACGCGAGCATGAGTTCGGACAAGCGAGCCATGACCCAACCATGTTACTGCGTCATTTCAAGCAAAAATTGCAGGTGGCTTGAGTCTGAGCCGTTGAGCACGTCTGTGCTGGGCCCATTGCCGCGTTTGAGAGTGTCGGATATGCAAGGGTATGATCCGGAGACTGGCAGCCGACCCGGTGCTGCCGCCAGAATCGAGCAGAACCTTGTTCAGTTTGGTGTGTTCTTTCATCAATGCTTTATAGAGATTACAGAGCAGGTATGTCCAATCGGTTAGTCACCGTTCCGTGGCGACGGCGTTGTGGTAGTAGACGTTCTTGCTTATAATATGTCAAAGAGGCTTGATACAAATGCGCATAAACCATTAAGCCATAAAACCCTAAAACCCTAAACCCTAAACCCGAACCTTAAAGCAAACCTTAAACCCTAAACCCTAAAACCCTAAACCCTAAAACCCTAAAATCCTAAACCCTGAACCCTAAAACCCTACAACCCTTAACCCCAAAAGCTCAAAAGCCCTAAGCCTTCAATCCCGAATTCTTGAAACTCAAAACCTTAACCAAAATCCCAAGCCTTAAACCTTGAAACCTTAAACCCTTCAAATAATGTGCAGAATCTCCGCTTGCCAGGTGAAGGTTTCCTGCTCTCTTCATTATCCTTTTGTTGCTGCCGCTTCAATGTTAGCGAGCCCACAAAAATTCTGGCAAGGCTATTGTGGCTTTGCAGACCTTTCCCGCCGAACCCGAACACACGGAATCCCTAGGGCTCGCCGGACCCGGATATCATTGCAAGACTCTGTGGGGTTTGCCGGGAAAGGTCAGAGAACATATTATTTGTCGGAAGGATTTTGATTTCTTGATTTCATCTCACATGTCACGGTTCTACAAAAAACATAGATATTTTTATGTATTTATATATATATATATTCATGTTAATCAAATAGAATGTCAGAAGTTTAATGTCAGATAGAATGCCAGACAAAACGTCAAAGATGTACATTTATGCTAGATAGAATGTCAGAGAATTGGTTTACTATGTCAGTGCAGGCAGAATTTTGACATATTCTGATAGACTGCCAGAATGTCAGGCAGAATGCCAAGGAGGCTATTCAGATCAAACGCCGCTGTGTGTCAGAATGCATGCCGACTAGAACTTGGAATGCCAAAATAGATTGGCAGGTAGGCTAGAAAAACGCAAGATTGGCAAGATCGTAATTTAGGCAGAATTTCATTATTTGGGAGCAAGAATGTCAGAACATTATAGGCTTTCACTTGGTGGTGTGGATCACCCGAGTAAGATTAGATGAGATAGACAGATAATAATCACCTTTGTATTGTAAACCAAAAACAGAACATATATTATGACCAGTTATACCGCATTGATTCTCTTCTTAATGTTCAAAAATGCAAAATCTGTATTAATATGTTTGCAGCTTTACTTTCAATCAGAATTAAATTGCCCAGCAAGATTCTTCAATGAAATTTCAATAAATAAAGAAACCAATATATATATATATATATCTACATATATATAATTGTTATATTTTTTTATTTTTCAAAATATAGCACACTTAAATTCATACACATTTCTTTTGGCATAGCAAAAAACAGGCATGCATGCATGCATACATGCACACATGCATACATGCATTCTTTCTTTCAATCATTCATTCATTCATTCATTCATTCATTCATTCATTCATTCATTCATTATTCAATGATTCATTCATTCATTCATTCATTCATTCATTTCTTTCATTCATTCTTTCATTCATTCATTCATTCATGCATTCATTCATGCATTCATTCAATCATTCATTCAATCATTCATTCATTCATTCATTCATTCATTCATACATACATACATACATTGACATACATTGACATACATTGACAGGCATTGACAAACATTGACATACATGTGCAAACATTGACATGCATTGACATGATACATTGACAAACATTGACATACATACACATACATACATACATACATACATGCATGCATACATACATACATATATTGACATACATTGACATACATACATTGGCATACATGCGTTGACATGCTGCAGTGACATTCATTGACATACATGGACTTACATTGACATACACATACATACATACACATACATTAACAGACAAACATACATACACATACATACACACAGACAGACAGACATATATACATACACGCACGATGCATGCATGCATGCATGCATGCATGCATGCATGCATGCATGCATGCATACACGCATACATACATACATACATACATACATACATACATACATACATACATACATACATACATACATACATACATACATACACACATACGTACGTACGTACGTACATACATACACACATGCATACATACAAACACAAATACACACAGATAGTAACTAGACACACAGACCGACAGACAGACACACAGAGAGACATATATAGACACATACAGGCAGGTAAGCAGACTCTAGATCACACAAACGCATTGGTTTAGAAGATGTTTTTTATGGTTTAATCAAATAGATAAGTAGACAAATTAGTATATAATAAGACAAAATATATACACATAATACCTGTTTTGAATTTGTCTATATACAAGCTTCTAAAACCACACGCAAAATATGTATATCAATATGGATTTGAAACCAGCTGCGAGCATAACAAAAGTCATGTCTTTAACATTTTCAAGCACACAAATATAAAATTTTCGTATATTATACACATATCAAATTTATACACATATTAACAACATACATTGACGAAACACAATTTGTTCAACCTGCATTGACAAGCAGATTCGGTTTCATATGCATATTATATAGATAGATTTTTGGACACGGACACTGACGTTCACACGCGTCTGGCATATATAATTCCAACACCACACACACACACTACAGATACAAATTGAGTATTCAGAGGCGGCAATTGTTTTGGATTTTCTCAGCTGCCTTCACTGTTGCATCCAGGAAGGGCATTCCGTGCCATCGAAGCATTTTGGATGGGTACCTTCAGGGTATGACTATCAGTGAGGAGAGAGATGTGGTGATTTTCTTCGACCTATGCCCAAACCAGTTCCTCGGCTTGTTTTGGCTGATTGCGATGCCAACCGGAAATTGTTAGTGAACCAGCCTTGGCACGCAGCTTGCAAGCGCTTAGGTTTGCCGAGTTCTCCCGTGCGTGTGTGGAAAGAAGCCTTGAAGGTGCCTCCCCAAAGGTCATCTACTACGGATGTTTCCGTGAAGGTGATGTGCACAAGCGCATGCAGAGAGAACTGGAGTCCCTGGTGTTCAAGCATTGGGATGATTTGTCATCGTCCCCTCCAAAGCAGAGACCACGTTCTGAAGCTGCTGCGGACTGGAATGTTGAAGGCCTTGTGTTGCTGAGCTGCACCCGTTCGGGGCCAGTTTGGCCAGAGCATCTTGACAGCAAGTTTGCAGCCAACAGCTCGGAAGCCAGAGAGATCCAAGAGCTGAAGCAATCCTTTCTTTCAGAGTTCCCGGCCACCAGTGAGCCTGGCCAGGCTTCTGCAACAGGAGCTGGAGCCGGAGGACCTACGCTGCGGGCAACAGGCCAGCCGGATTTCAGTGTCGATGGAGGGCGCGAGCCACTTGATGTCAGCCGTGTGGTTGATTGCCTGGTGGAACCTCCTCCGGCACCTGCTGACAGGCTCGGTGTGTTGAAAATTGTTTTGTGAATGTTTCCAATGACAGGCAGGATGGAAACATTTAAATTCTCTGGCTGTTTCCTTTTTGGTTTCGAGGCTTGTGAAGTTATTGTTTGATTGCCTTTTATTTTGCGTTCCCGATTCATTTCCTATGTGTCCCCAGGCTTGCTTTTTCAACCACCTGTTTCCAGAGCCAACATTGCCCAGCTGAATGAATTAAGGCATTGACTGCGGATCCCATGTTGAAGTTTTCTTGCTTGTTGCCCATTCTCTTTCTTGTAAGCCTGCCTCTAGTTATTAGAACAGGCTTGCGCTTGTGAACGGGAAGTCTGGCAAACCATCCCTCTTGGTCGACAAGCACTACAAACTTTGGCTGGGCAATGAATCTGAAGAAGCCCAGACATGGAGTGGCATTGAACTCTTCGGATTCAATACGGGGGTGTTTGAGTACAAGATTGTGCGCGGGTCGAAGAGGGACACGT